GCTTGACAGATTTTTCCACAACAGCAATAACAACAACAAAAACTAACCGATAACAATGAAATCATGGAACTCTGTGACTGTATTTGTGACAGAAATATTTCTGATTTTTTTTCTTTGTAAAGCTAACGACATTTTGGCACAGTGAGAAAATGTATTCAAAATCGACAACAGGCGAGTTACACACACAAAGGATCTATATATAAGGATCATTGTACACCAAAAGAATAAACTGCAATCACGAGACAATATAATAACAATCAATGGAAAATAAACTTATGAGAACTGTCCGAGTGACCAGTATATTTTATTTTTTTCTCGACTTTTGCCATCCCATCTCATATCATGGTAATGGTATAATAGAGTAAATGACAGGATATTGAGAAAATTGACAAAGAAAATAATAACAATAATAATGCGGTTGAGATGATAATGAAATGAATCTCTTACAAAAGGACGAAGTGTATGTATGTCACGTCACGTCACATCACGTTGCTGTTGTTGTAATGGTGTAATCTGCACAAAAGGATAATGATGAAAAATTACTCAACATATTCTTGACATGTTGTAACTCTATTATGTGAAATTGAGATATTGGAATTAAAAAGAAGATGCAAGGAATAAGGACATCATTGAGGAACCGCAAAGGAAGAATTTTGTTAAAAAGGATTGCATTAAAAATTTGCTTTCAATTAAAAGATCACATAGTAACAAATTTTTAAATACTCAGATTTGTTAATAAGATTTGCAATTTTTAATAAAATAATTTGCCATTTTCTCTGCCACTTTTCGTGTCGTGTGCCACACGGTCCCTTATTTGTCATTACCAAAAAATCCTTTCTCACAACATTCGTTTTTACCAATGGTTGGAATAAATTATGCTAAATAAAAAGCATAGTTCTTAACATGTCAACATCATCATCATCGTCGATGTAATCATTTGCCAAACTCTGTAACCTCATATTGTGTTAATGCCTTGATGCAAAACTTTAATGCCTTCCTAATGGGTTTCAAAATCCCCCTTTTGCATGATTGCCAATAATCCTCTTAACAAACTTTACTAATACTTCACAATAATAATAATCACTGGCACTGCAGGTTGTTTTGGTCTGGTGATAAATAAATATTCATAATTAAAAGTTAATGGTCTCCGGTAAAGGTTTTAATGAAAATAAAAATTACAATATTGGGTATGAAGATTTTCTTAGGTGTTTGGAAAGTAAATTTATTAAAAAGGAACTTAAAAATAGTCTTCAACAAATCCACCCAAGCCTGTGGTAGTCTTCTCAGGAAAAATATTCTTTAAAAAATCCACCCCTGTGGTAGTCTTCTCAGGAAAAATATTCTTTAAAAAAATCCACCCACGCCTGTGGTAGTCTCAGGAACAATATTCTTTAAAAAAATCCACCCACGCCTCTGGTAGTCTCAGGAACAATATTCTTTAAAAAAATCTACCCACGCCTGTGGTAGTCTCAGGAACAATATTCCTTAAAAAAATCCACCCACGCCTGTGGTAGTCTCAGGAACAATATACTTTAAAAAAATCCACCCACGCCTGTGGTAGTCCTAGGAAAATTCTTCTTTAAAAAAAAATCCACCCGCGCCTGTGGTAGTCTCAGGAACAATATTCTTTAAAAAAATTCACCCACGCCTGTGGTAGTCCTAGGAAAATTCTTCTTAAAAAAAATCAACGCCTAAGGTAGAGTCAGAAAACATAGTTCTAAAAAAAATCCACGCCTAAGGTAGAGTCAGAAAAAATAGTTCTTAAAAAAATCCACGCCTATGGTAGAATCAGAAAAAATATTTCTTTAAAAAATCCACGCCTATGGTAGAAACAAAAAAATATTTCTTTAAAAAATCGACACCTAAGGTAGAATCAGAAAAAATAGTTCTTTAAAAAATCCACGCCTAAGGTAGAGTCAGAAAAAATAGTTCTTAAAAAAAATCCACACCTAAGGTAGAATCAGAAAAAATAGTTCTTTAAAAAATCCACGCCTAAGGTAGAGCCAGAAAAAATAGTTCTTAAAAAAAATCCACACCTAAGGTAGAATCAGAAAAAATAGTTCTTTAAAAAATCCACGCCTAAGGTAGAGTCAGAAAAAATAGTTCTTAAAAAAATCCACACCTGTGATAGTCGTCTCAGGAAAAATATTCTTGAAAAAATCCACCCACGCCTGTGATAGTCGTCTCAGGAAAAAATATTCTTGAAAAAATCCACCCACGCCTGTGATAGTCGTCTCAGGAAAAAATATTCTCTAAAAAATCCACGCCTGTGATAGTCGTCTCAGGAAAAATATTCTTGAAAAAATCCACCCACGCTTGTGATAGTCGTCTCAGGAAAAAATATTCTTTAAAAAATCCACGCTTTGTGTAGGTCCGTGAAAAAATATTCTTTAAAAAATCCACGCCTTGTGTAGGTCCGTGAAAAAATATTCTTTAAAAAATCCACGCCTTGTGTAGGTCCGTGAAAAAATATTCTTTAAAAAATCCACGCCTTGTGTAGGTCCGTGAAAAAATATTCTTTAAAAAATCCACGCCTTGTGTAGGTCCGTGAAAAAATATTCTTTAAAAAATCCACGCCTTGTGTAGGTCCGTGAAAAAATATTCTTTAAAAAATCCACGCCTTGTGTAGGTCCGTGAAAAAATATTCTTTAAAAAATCCACGCCTTGTGTAGGTCCGTGAAAAAATATTCTTTAAAAAATCCACGCCTTGTGTAGGTCCGTGAAAAAATATTCTTTAAAAAATCCACGCCTTGTGTAGGTCCGTGAAAAAATATTCTTTAAAAAATCCACGCCTTGTGTAGGTCCGTGAAAAAATATTCTTTAAAAAATCCACGCCTTGTGTAGGTCCGTGAAAAAATATTCTTTAAAAAATCCACGCCTTGTGTAGGTCCGTGAAAAAATATTCTTTAAAAAATCAACGCCTGTGTAGGTCCGTGAAAAAATATTCTTTAAAAAATCCACGCCTTGTGTAGGTCCGTGAAAAAATATTCTTTAAAAAATCCACGCCTTGTGTAGGTCCGTGAAAAAATATTCTTTAAAAAATCCACGCCTTGTGTAGGTCCGTGAAAAAATATTCTTTAAAAAATCCACGCCTTGTGTAGGTCCGTGAAAAAATATTCTTTAAAAAATCCACGCCTTGTGTAGGTCCGTGAAAAAATATTCTTTAAAAAATCCACGCCTTGTGTAGGTCCGTGAAAAAATATTCTTTAAAAAATCCACGCCTTGTGTAGGTCCGTGAAAAAATATTCTTTAAAAAATCCACGCCTTGTGTAGGTCCGTGAAAAAATATTCTTTAAAAAATCCACGCCTTGTGTAGGTCCGTGAAAAAATATTCTTTAAAAAATCCACGCCTTGTGTAGGTCCGTGAAAAAATATTCTTTAAAAAATCCACGCCTTGTGTAGGTCCGTGAAAAAATATTCTTTAAAAAATCCACGCCTTGTGTAGGTCCGTGAAAAAATATTCTTTAAAAAATCCACGCCTTGTGTAGGTCCGTGAAAAAATATTCTTTAAAAAATCCACGCCTTGTGTAGGTCCGTGAAAAAATATTCTTTAAAAAATCCACGCCTTGTGTAGGTCCGTGAAAAAATATTCTTTAAAAAATCCACGCCTTGTGTAGGTCCGTGAAAAAATATTCTTTAAAAAATCCACGCCTTGTGTAGGTCCGTGAAAAAATATTCTTTAAAAAATCCACGCCTTGTGTAGGTCCGTGAAAAAATATTCTTTAAAAAATCCACGCCTTGTGTAGGTCCGTGAAAAAATATTCTTTAAAAAATCCACGCCTTGTGTAGGTCCGTGAAAAAATATTCTTTAAAAAATCCACGCCTTGTGTAGGTCCGTGAAAAAATATTCTTTAAAAAATCCACGCCTTGTGTAGGTCCGTGAAAAAATATTCTTTAAAAAATCCACGCCTTGTGTAGGTCCGTGAAAAAATATTCTTTAAAAAATCCACGCCTTGTGTAGGTCCGTGAAAAAATATTCTTTAAAAAATCCAAGCATTGTGTAGGTCACTGAAAAAATATTCTTTAAAAAATCCACGCCTTGTGTAGGTCCCTGAAAAAATATTCTTTAAAAAATCCACGCCTTGTGTAGGTCCCTGAAAAATATTCTTTAAAAAATCCACGCCTTGTGTAGGTCCCTGAAAAAATATTCTTTAAAAAATCCACGCCTTGTGTAGGTCCCTGAAACATTCCGTTGAAAGTTCATTCGTTGAACTCCACAGTTAGGCCTTCAAAAATGTTCTTTCGAATATTTTTGTAATTTTAATAATATTTTCTATTAATTATAAAAAATCATTTTTTTAATATTTATTAATACCTGTTTATATTAATTCATTGAATTTTACTCATGTCAATTATTTTGGAGATGGGTTCAATATCGTGAATTATATTCGACCAGTTTCTTTGGTTCAAAGACCTCTGAAAATAAACAATGAATTGAATTTCTAATACTGAAATAAATAGCACATGGTGTAGACAAATACCCCTCTCATTGCAGATCTATGGATTTTTGCAATAAAAAAATTCTCGTTTTAAATACAGAAATTTGAGAACCTAGACACGTGTAGTAGTCTGTCAGCCCATCGATTTTCACTTTCCTCAAATTCTCCCCAAAAAATATAGATTTTTTTCTGTAAAAGCATGGAGGTCAATTTACATTTTTTTCTAATTCCCAAATTGAAAACCTTTTCAAAATTGTAACAATAATATAAGACTCACACAACTGCATTCATTTACAATAAAAAACAACTAATTTGAATACCGGTCTTTAGTGCATCAAATAATTGGGAAGGCTAGCAATTGTTGTTGTTGTGTTTGTTATCCATGAAACCAGATGTAAGAACAAAGCCCTATCCTAAATTTAATTTATAATCTTCAAAATCTATACTATATACTCAATATTGGAATTTAAGTATAAAATCATTTGAAATTTCGCTGAACGGCATCAGTGATCAGTTCCAAGTCTCAGGAAGTACAACATCGAGTAGAACAGCGGTAGCATAATGAAAGTTTTGTACGCGTTAGTCCTCTGCTGTGTGGTTGCAGCCAATGGCCAGGCTATAAGTAATTCCAATGCTATAGCCATATCAAATTCCCAAAGCTTGGGTGGTGGTTACGGTGGTGGTTACCCAGGATACGGAGGAGGTGGCGGAGGATTCCCAGGATATGGTGGCGTTTTCCCTGGACTTGGCTATGGCGGCGGCATTGGTGGAGGACGTTTTCATAGACGTCATGGCGGCTTCGGTGGTGGCGGCATACCTTATGGTGGCGGCGGCTATGGAGGCATACCCTACGGTGGTGGCGGTTATGGTGGTGCCAGTGCTAACGCCGTTGCTATTTCCAATGCTCAGAGTCAAGGAGGTTATGGAAAATAAATTAATAACAATTTGTCAATAAAGTTGTTGTGTAAAAAAATTATATTTATATTATGAATTATGAAAATTATTGGCAAAATATCCTCAATAGGTGTGGGTTTTTTTGAAATATATTTTTTAAGGACCAATACAAGCGTGGATTTCTTAAAAAATATTTTTGAAAGACCAATACAGGCGTGGACTTTTTAAAGAATATTTTTTAAGGACCACAGACAGGCTTGGATTTTTTTAAAAATATTCTTCCAAGGACCTACACAGGCGTGGATTTTTTAAATAATTTTTTTTAAGGACTACAGGCAGGCTTGGATTTTTTAAAGAATATTTTTCCAAGGACCTATACAGGCTTGGATATTTTAAAGAATATTTTTTAAGGACCACAGACAGTCTTGGACTTTTTAAAGAATATTTTTTAAGGACCACAGACAGGCTTGGACTTTTTAAAGAATATTTTTTAAGGACCACAGACAGGCTTGGGATTTTTTAAAAAATATTTTTTAAGGACCACAAACAGGCTTGGATTTAAAGCATATTTTTTAAGGACCAATGCAAGGCATGGATTTTTATTTAAAGAGTATTTTTTAAGGATCTCAGGCAGGCTTGGACTTTTTAAATAAAATTTTTTTAAGGACCAATGCAAGGCGTGGACTTTTTAAAGAATATTTTTTAAGGACCACAGACAGGCTTGGATTTTTTAAAGAATATTTTTTAAGGACCAATGCAAGGCATGGATTTTTTAAAGAGTATTTTTTAAGGATCTCAGGCAGGCTTAGACTTTTTAAATAATATTTTTTTTAAGGACCAATGCAAGGCGTGGACTTTTTAAAGAATATTTTTTATAGACCACAGACAGGCTTGGATTTTTTAAAGAATATTTTTCCAAGGACCTATACAGGCCTGGATTTTTTAAAGAAATTTTTAAGGACCACAGACATGCTTGGATTTTTTAAAGAACATTTTTAAGGACCACAGACATGCTTGGATTTTTTAAAGAATATTTTTAAAGACCACAGACAGGCGTGGACTTTTTAAAGAATATTTTTTAAGGACCACAGACAGGCTTGGATTTTTTAAAGAATATTTTTTAAGGACCAATGCAAGGCATGGATTTTTTAAAGAGTATTTTTAAGGATCTCAGGCAGGCTTGGACTTTTTAAATAATATTTTTTTTAAGGACCAATGCAAGGCGTGGAATTTTTAAAGAATATTTTTTATAGACCACAGACAGGCTTGGATTTTTTAAAGAATATTTTTCCAAGGACCTATACAGGCGTGGATTTTTTAAAGATTTTTTTAAGGACCACAGACATGCTTGGATTTTTTAAAGAATATTTTTAAGGACCACAGACATGCTTGGATTTTTTAAAGATTTTTTTAAGGACCACAGACATGCTTGGATTTTTTAAAGAATATTTTTTAAGGACCACAGACAGGCTTGGATTTTTTAAAGAATATTTTTCCAAGGACCTATACAGGCGTGAATTTTTTAAATAATATTTTTCCAAGAACCTATACAGGCGTGGATTTTTTAAAGAATATTTTTATGGACCAATGCAGGCGTGGACCTATATTTTTTCAAAGACTATTCTAGGCGTGGATTTTTAAAAAAATATATTTTTCTAAGGACCAATAGTTTTTCAAAGACTATTCTAGGCGTGGATTTTTAAACTATATTTTTCTAAGGACCGATATTTTTTTAAGACTATGCTAGGCGTGGATTTTTAAAATATATTTTTCTAAAGATCAACATTTTTTCAAAGACTATTCTAGGCGTGGATATTTAAAATATGTATTTGTGTGTGTTGGGACCTTCTCTTCTACTCATAACAAAATTTGTGATCAAACACATAAAACCATGCAGTTCAAAAGCACTCATACACCCCCTTTTCAACTATCAATAATAAACTGATGGCTTTGATTTTAACAGGCATTGTGTGTGCACTGCTGGACCATTAGTTAAGTAAACAAATAAAAATTGGCTACTGGCAGTTCTAAACTGGACTCATTGTCCCCCATGGTCCATGTGCTACACTGGACATACATTGATGTTTACTTTGGCACATTGGTTGTTTGGCCTCATCGACTGGTCGATGGGTTGCATATACTCCTCCCGCTAAAGGGTATGTTTCCATTCAGTGAAGGACTTTTATTGTTCGAGGTCAACAACTACAACTTAAATATGAATATTTTGCAAAGTTTTGTTTTTGTAAAACTGATTACATTAATTTGGTTGCTTGGTCAGTCTATTTTGTCAGAATTATGATAATGGCCAGAGTCAATGGGAAAATAATAAAGTTGTTTTTTTGTATTTACATTGAGTGGATTACGATGAGCATGCCATGTAACCAAAACAATTGTTATTAAATTTGTTTTGTTATTAAATTGGATGAATCTTGAAAAATATTGTTTATAAAATCCACGCCTTTGGATGGACCTTGAAAAATATTGTTTAAAAAATCCACGCCTTTGGATGGACCTTGAAAAATATTGTTTAAAAAATCCACGCCTTTGGATGGACCTTGAAAAATATTCTTTAAAAAATCCACGCCTTTGGATGGACCTTGAAAAATATTCTTTAAAAAATCCACGCCTTTGGATGGACCTTGAAAAATATTCTTTAAAAAATCCACGCCTTTGGATGGACCTTGAAAAATATTCTTTAAAAAATCCACGCCTTTGGATGGACCTTGAAAAATATTGTTTAAATAATCCACGCCTTTGTATGGACCTTGAAAAATATTGTTTAAAAAATCCACGCCTTTGGATGGACCTTGAAAAATATTGTTTAAAAAACCCATGCCTTTGGATGGACCTTGAAAAATATTTTTTAAAAAAATCAACGCCCTTGGATGGACCTTGAAAAATATTCTTTAAAAAAGTCCACGCCTTTCGATGGACCTTGAAAAATATTTTTTTATATTGTTTAAAAAATCTACGCTTTTGGATGGAGCATGAAAAATATTGTTTAAAAATTCACGCCTTTGGATGGACCTTGAAAAATATTCGTTATAAAATCCACGCCTATTGTGGCTTCAGGAAAAATATTGTTTAAATAATCCACTCTTGTGTAGGTCCCATAAAAAAGATTTTTTAAAGAAAAATCCGCCTTTGCTATGGCAACCCTATTAACTAGAAAACAATCCACCAAAAACACTCACATGACACAACAAAAAATGAAACGAAACATTAATGCAAAATCCATATCAAAAATAATTAATTGATACGAATTTGAAAATCAATTTGCCGGCTTAAGCAGATCCACGAAGTGTGTTTCATTATGAGGTTGTTATTCATCTCGAAATGATGCAGAAGAAGAAGAAAAATACAAAACACACACACAAAATTCAAAATTTAGAAATTTTTGCGTACCTTTAAAAAACCTGTTACGAAAGTAAACCCCTTCCGCCCCCTTGTACTGCCTTATCACTTTATAACGCATTTGTTTATAAACAATAAATGTGAGATATCAAATAATTAATGAATATGCATTTGTTTTGTTATTGTTGTTGTTGCTGTTGAGTTATTATTTAACGGAGTTTTGCATAAACTTTTAGTGTTTTGTCCGAACCGGTAATATTCGGGGAATAACTTTGTCAAGTGGGGCAACATGACTTGAAATGGCACAAAATGTGATTCAAAGACCTATTAAAACAATTTAATGTGAAGCGTCTGTTGCAAAACGATTAATAAATTAATAACAAATAAATAAATCAACAACAAATATGACAAAAATATATATTGGAATAAATGCCAGTCAGTGTTATACTACTTAGATAACTCAAGGGCATATTGGAAGCCTGCGAGGCATGTTCAATGTTTTTTTTTTTATTGTTTTTGAATTTGATAAGAGTTCTTGTGGGGACTTTTTTTGATTTCATGATTGTGAATTTCCCAAAAAGCAACCGAAGAATTGAATAATTGAAATTTCATAAAGAATAATCCATATCAGGTGATTCCGCTTGATGATTCTGACGTAAATTGAACACGTGAATTATCTTCAGTACCGGTTCAGAGAATTTCCGAATAATTATGAACACAGCAAAAGAAGCATCTACAAGTTAAAAAGTAAAAAAAAAACTTTGCAAAGTAAATGGAGAGAATATCTTACTGAAGTCTTCCATAAAATATTGCCCCATTGGCTTATATAATATAAGGTCAATAAAGGCCGACTAACTTCTTTATATAGAGGTCTCTTAACGACTATAATGTATGAGTATTCTATGGTCGGAATTCTTTTCAAAAGCAAACTATAGATAAAAAGATAGATACACATTTCGATACCTAATTTTATTGACTCCATTATATATAGAAGACCCTGAAGTGAGCTTCAATTCTTTAAAAAATCCACGCCTCTTTGTTTGTTCCTTAAAACTATTCTCTAAAAAATCCACGCCTCTTTGTTTGTCCCTTAAAAATATTCTTTAAATAATCCACGCCTTATTGATTGTCCCTTAAAAATATTCTTTAATATTCATAATGGACCTTAAACAGTATTTTTTAAATAATCCACGCCTCATAGTGAACCTTAAAAAATATTTTTTAAATAATCCACGCCTCATAATGGACCTTAAAAAATATTGTAGCAATATTCAAACTAGCATATGCCCGCTACTTCGATAGCGAATGTGGGTAATATTTAAACATGTATTAATATATTATTTTATTTTCACAGAAAACTGCATATGTCAGAATAAATAAACAATCCACACATTAATATCGACCATAAATTGAATTTGAGAACCATTTAGTACCAAATTTCATTATTCGAGCTCTAAAGGTCACCCAAATCCAAATTATACCAAATTTTATTCCATTTAGCACACATTATTCCAATAAGTACCCCCCTCAACCATCCAAAAAAACTTCCTGTATACCCCGATCTTACAAAATGATTCCAAATTCAAATTTCAGAATTTCAACTCTATTGGTATACAGTAGTACGAATTTCCAAAACTTCCTACTTAACCCAAACCTACACGCCCACAGTGATCCTTAAACCAAGA